AATTATATGAAATATATGTATAAAGATATACAATAATAGCTCAGATGTGTTGAAATGTGCACTGTTCTTTTAACAAAAAGCAGTAAAATCAACAAAATATTACAATGTTGTTATTGTAAGGGATCTGAGGAGGAGGAGGAGGAGCTACTCACTGTAAGCAGCTGTATTCATTGCTAGTATCTCCTAAATAGGAACTTTACAGGAGAGGGCAAAAATGTTATGTACTTTTAATGTAAGTCAATTTGAAAAGATTTCATTCAAAGTCATTTTGAAGCATTTCTATTGGTCCATTCATCATGAAATTATCAGTCGATGTAAAGGACAGCCACCGTGTTGAAATGGTGCAGAAAACTAAAAATAGGTAAAAATGGAGATACATGTTTATATATATATATATATATATATATATATATATATATATATATATATATATATATATATATTTTCATATATTTCCATATAAAAGTATACTTGAAAGGTTGAAATGTGTATTCTATGAACTCTTGGCGGTATAAACATGTCAATAAAGCACACAGTGCATTCAGATCTGAGCTCAGAGTCTCTGTTCTTTTGTTTTTTACCCCCTTAACATCTCAGACTTATTACATACTAAGGCTTATTATTCAGCAACTACAGGGACTTCAGTGCAAACTGGCTGAGCTATTCTTAGGTTATAGAGGTGTGTACTAAAACTTTGGGCCTCCTGGTGGACGCTGGCTATTTAACTGTTAAATCTATTCAAGTCTTCGCACTCGCATCATTGGCCTCTTTTCCACTGCAGAACAGAACGTTCTAAGCATGGTCGAATAACTGTTCCGGTGGCATTTACACACGACATGACTTAATGACAAAGCTATTCGCTGATTTGGTTCTATGTTTACGTCTGTTTTGTGCCAGTTCATCCTGTGTTATTTAAAAAACAAAAACAATCAAATAAGTTCAGTCTCCAAATAAATGAAAGCAGGGCTGGATTTTCTGTCATTCAATAAAAATCAATACCATCAACAATTCCCTGCTGTCAGAACAACAGCTTGAATCTTCATTTCTGTTGTTTTTCAGTTTTTGACATAATTTGAAAATACCTGTTGACCTTTACATTGTATGTTAATTTCATGATGAATGGACCAAAAGAAACGGCCCAAAATGACTGAAAAAATTCTGGTTCCATTGACTTACATTAAAGGTAAAATATGTTTTTTCCTTCTCCTGTAAAGTTACCATTTTGGAGATACAAGGTTTTGTTCCGACAGCAGTGAATTACTAAATGTTAAACAGCACTGCTGACTAGAAGAGAGGAGATAGTTAGCATTGGCTTAGCTACCCTGCTAACATTTAAAAGTTTCTATTGGTTCCCAGAGGTGTTTAATAGTCAGTAATGGTAGCGAAAAAAAGATAACAGCATTCACAATTTTCATTCATGGAGGTACAAACAATGCAAATGTCCCCTCAAAGAAAATGCAGTGGTTTTAAGGTGCAACTGTGCACCTTAAATAAGTTTTTCCAGGTGAAAAGTAGGAATTTAGATCCATCTCAGTACCTTTAGTCAGGGAACATAACTGTACCATAATCCACTGAAATGATATGTTCTAAGCTGTACTGACTCCACACACCCCGTCTCATCTCCAGGACTTTATTTTACTGTTCTGTTTAAAACATTCGGTTATGAAAAGGTACAAATACGAACTTTTCACCTGGAAAAACTTATTTAAGGTTCACAATCAGACCTTAAAACCACTGTTGTACCTTTGAGGGAACATTTACACTGTTTGTACCTTGATGAACGAGAAATGCACCTGAACAGAACCTTTATTTCTAACAGTGTAAAAGAAGCTATGCTGACGCAAATCTAGATGATAATGACTCAAATCTCAGCAGTCGAGCTGCTGGTGTTGGAGGGACAGAAAGCTGAGATGAAAGCTGTTCTGTGGTGTCTGGATCTGTAGCCTGCTAGCTAGGCTAAGGTTATCTGGCTCCTCTTCTAGCACTCTTAGTTGGCTTAGCTGATGGAGATCCAAACAGTGCAGTACAGGTTTGGTTCTGACTAACTGGTGCTCTGTTAATACAGGTGTAGCAGATAAACACTCATGTCTGAGAGAGCCTAGTCGAGTTACTGGTGTTTGACTCACAGAAAGCCCAAATCAAACCTGTTCTGTGTTGCTTTGAGCTGCAGCCTACTGTTAGCAGGCTAAAGGCACCACCTACCAAAGTACAGGCTTTGTTCTAGCTAATTAATGCTCAACTTACACATGTTTAGAGGATAAAGGCTCTTACCTGTGACTGGTCGAGCGACTGGTGGTGTTGGAGTGAATCCAGCGTGCTCTGTAGTGTGTAGCTTAGCCTGTTAGCTGTTCCTGTGCTACTTGTTTTGAGCCTCTCTCCACCATCTCCACAGTTAGCTATGAGGCTAATGTAGCTGGAAAATGCACAAAAATTCAGGCTTCAACATATTTGAGGTTCTTCAATCCATGTTTATGGATGCAGCGTCAGAAATCACTTAATCATAGCTCAACATAAGTTTCCATTACTTGTTAGCCACATTAGTCTTGTAGCTATAAGAAGCAAACCTCAGACACCCAACATGACTTGGCTGATCGACTACATTTGGGATAAGAGTGAAAACAGTGTTTAATTTGATTCTTGGCTAAATTCTAACTTCAATAGCTTCAGAGTTTATTTAGTTTTACTCTGAAAATGCTAATATAAGGCATCACTGCTTTGGATGAATATGGTGGTCGTGTGCAAGCTAAACTACAGTAACCCCAAAAACACATGCAGAGGGAGTAAAGGTGGTGAGAAAAACACTCTGGGTAATAAAACACACTAACTTAATGCTTAATGTGTGTCTGACTTTATATCTTCAATAGTAGAAATGTCATGAAAAGTAATAGTAAAATAATAGTGATACAACATTGATGCACTGTCACTCCTGTTACTTGTGTTTTTAGTAAAGATAATGGCTGTTATAGAACCATGGAGTCTTAACGAATGCATTAAATGGTTCTTGGCATAGTTGAATGGTTCCACTCTTTGATGGGGAATGTGCTGTACATGTTTCTTTAAAAAAAGCCTTTTTAAATATTTTTGCTTTTAGCTAAAATGGATCAGCATATTACCAAAAAAGGGGTCTATGACTTGTGTCAACAGTGGACCCCTTTCTGGTAATATTTACAACCATTTGAAAATATTTTTTTAAAGAACCGTACATAACAGAACCATGTAACCATGCAAAGAACCATTTATGCATTGAAATGGTTCTCTGAGTTGGTTTACATACAAACAAAAACATGCCGCAATGCCACACAAGAACCACTTTAGTTCTCTAAAGAACCTTGTTCATACGTGAGATGTGTGAGTGTGAAGAAGGTAATGTAAAGGTTCTCTATAAATTTAAGGGTACTAACAAGAACATTTATATCATGTGAAGGTTCTTTAAACCTGAAAAAGGGTCTTCACATTCACACAGCGTATTTACAAAATTGGTTCTTTAAAGAGCCATCCATTGAAAGGTTCTTTAAGGAAAACAAAAATGGTTCTTCTGTGGTTCTTCTGGAACCTTTATATAAAACTGTTGCCTTTCCTAAAATACTTAGATACATAGAACCCATTTATTGGACGTAATTTAATGCAATAGTAATATCACTGTAACTTCTGTGTAAGACGTACACTATTAGAACAGCGGTTCTTCAGCAAGGGCAATGGTTATTTATAGAACCATGACAACTTACAGAACACTTAAATGGTTCTTTGCATATAGTTAAAAGGTTTTTCTCTGTGATGGGGAACCTACTGTGTTGTGTTTTGGTTTACTCTGAGAAAAGATGGTTCTATATAGAAGTATAAAATGGTTGGAACCTTTCTAATGGCATATAAAGCAATTTTTCAAAAGGTTCTTCAAAGAACCATTAAAGACATGAACTATTTAACAGTACCATTGTTCTATATATTGTCACGTTTCGATATATACCTGTTCTCTTGCCTAGAACAAAAAGGGTTTTAATATAGTGAATGTACATTCTTTAAAAAGGAGGTTCTTCAGAGGTTCGTCACAGGTATATATAGGACCAAGACAACTTATAGAACCATTGCAATGCTGTGCATGGTTAAATAGTTCTCCTCTAGCTTCTTTAAAGAACCTTAAAAATTTGCTCTATGTAGCATTAGAAAAGGTTCTAGTATTGTTTAAGAACCGATTTTATAGTTCTGTACAGAACCATCTTTTCTTAGAGTAAACCAAAACACAGTAGGTTCCCCATCAAAGAGAACAACCTTTTAACTACATGGAAGGAACCATCGAGACGTTCAACATATATATATATATATATATATATATATATATATATATATATATAATCTGTCTATGAGGATTTCTATGCATGATATGTTGATAAATATGCCTAAAAATCACAGAATGCACTAAAAATAAGTAGTGCTTTAAATTTGCGTTCATTAAATGTATCAATTTAAATTCATATTAATAAACTATGCTGCATTTATCCCATTTATACTATAAACTACGCCACATTGGCTCTGTCTCTGTATGTGCCTCCCTCTTGAGCCGCGGTCAGGAGCCTGAATCCTGCCTAATGCGCGTTTGTCAATGGTTAATCAATACGATCGTGAGGCAAAAGGCTTTTACATTTACAGCCCCGACGCTGAGCTCCAGGATAAAATGTTCCCGTTTAGCCACGAGCGCTGGAGCGTGCTTAAAAGGTAAACAGCGCGGCGCGGGCCTTTTCTGTTTGCAGAGAGGTAAAAAGGCGGAAAAGAAAGAGGATCTGAACTGGTTTCCATGTCAAACACTTCAATTCTCCATAGAAACTCCGATCTTAACGCAGAAACTTTATTAAAGGCAGATAGCGGGGCGATAAGGGCCGAATTTCTATCGGCTCCTTTTTTTATTGTGCAGCCAGGGAGGGATGACAGAGGTAAATTGCTCTTTTAATTAAAGCAATGCTCCAAAGGAAATTGCTGTCTGAATATTGTCTCAGAGATGGGGGCTGGTGACAGTTGCCTGGAAACTTCAATCTGTTTCACATTTATTCCAGATCCCAGTTTTGAGATAAAGTTTAATAAAAAATCTCCCCCCTTGAATGAAAGCCTAAGCCCTCGTGCGGCTGCACCACAATGCCCCAGCGCTGCGGAGGAGGAAGCCTTGTGTTTAACATGTATCTCTCAGGTACGGAGCTCTATTTTCTCCTGTAGCTTTACCAGTTAGGGCGAGATTGAGGAGAAGACAGAGTGATCGTGGAGCTCGTTCTCTTCTCTTCTCTTCTCTTCTCTTCTCTTCTCTTCTCTTCTCTTCTGAGCTCATATCCCCTCCTCTGCCCTTTCCTGCTCTTTTCTGCTCTCCTCTGTGCCCCCCGTGCGCTCCGGCCTCTCCAAGCCTTCTCGCGTCTTTGTGCGCCTTTGCGCGCTTTGCGCGTCTTTACGCGCTCGGATTGGAGCGGATGTCCTTTTTCCTGGACGCGTTTCCTGACTCCGCTGTTGAGCTCCAGCAGGAGAATCACTCACTGCAGCTCTGCTTCTCACAGAGTCAGAATAAAGCATCCAGTTCTGGAAACGCGGCTGTGATTTCAGCCTTTTAGACGCGCGTTTCGCCTCTCCGAGCTCTCCAGCTCCAACACCTGTTTTCTCTCCTCAGGCAGTTTTTGCTGAAGTTATCTTTGCTCTGTTTAATAAAGTGAAATGATTTAATTGCAGTAATGTTTTGTATTTTATTTCAGATCCTACAGAAAATTTACTGAAGGAAAGTAAAGGTTCATCGTGGAGCCCCATAAACACAGGAGTGCAGAAAGGTGAGTGTTTTGTCTTTCAGCGCGCGCTCAGCCCTTCTGTAATATCTTAAACATCCTTAATTATCTCGGCGAATAAATGACACACTGGCCTCGCTTTAAAAGCACAATCATCCGTTTATTTTCCGCTGTTATTCTCTGAATATCAGGTTAGAACGAAATATTCCCCAAAAGCCCGTTTTAGACTGAAGCCTGTTTTCTTTCGTAACGCTGATCATTTCCATTAAAACGTCTTTAAAACGATGTTTCAAAATTTAGCAAGAAATGTTTAATAATATCTGTCTAATTTATGGGAAAGTATTTTACAAAAATTTTCTCTGATTTCTCTTATATGTCAGCTCAGATTTCCAAATCATCATCATCTGTGTTTGGGTTGGATTCTCTTACTGTTTGACCTTCAGCTAAAACAACAGATCAGTTTATCACATTTCTCCTCTTTCTGTTTTATTATAGTCAAAATAATCGTTACAGATTTGTTCTCTATTAATCTCTACTGTTCTGTAAAGGCGAGAGAAATGAAATCAAGCTCATGGTTTAGTCCAGAGCCTGAATACGTCATATTTATGTCGATGATAAAGGACACATTCATCATCATTAATGAAATATTTTAGTGATAAATAGTAATTCGCTAGATTCTTAGCTAATCAGAGCATATTTATAAATCAGTTTGTTCGTTTGTTTGTTGTTTATTTCGGTCCTTGTTTTTTTTTTTCAAAATAAATATACACAAAGGAATAAATAATAAACAAGGTATTCAATTCATAGGAAAGCCTATAAGCGTAATTATATATATATATATATATATATATATATATATATATATATATATATATATATATATAATTACATATAATAAGTTTATTTTTCCTGGCTTTTTTACCTTTTTACCTCACATGCTCTAATAGAGAATCCTTTCACTACTGGGTCTAGAAAACAACGACAAAAACAGGAGCAAAAACAAGAGATTCCAAACATTTCATACACAATAATGATCAAACCTCAGATTTATATTTATTTACTACCTTATTTTTAAATATTTATATATATATATATATATATATATATATATATATATATATATATATATTTGTCCATACCCTTGTTTTTTTAACATACCTGTTTCCCCTGAGCTCATACTGGCTCTCTCTCTGATTTCAAACATCATCAGAATACAGTGAGGAAGCAAACGATTTTATGCTTCCTACATTATCTGTGCTGCATTAAAGTCAAATAGATCACAACATTTTAAAGCATGTAAATTAATAAACAGTGTGTTGGTTCACAATAATCTGATCTGTTTACAGTTCTTATAGCTTTCTTCTGTAATCAGCAGCATCAGCAATTCTGTTTTTTGTCTTTCCATATTTGACATGACCAAAAACATTTATATTTTCTCATTTTAATCCCATGAAAAATGATTTATAAATATTTATATTTAGCATTTTGTAAGTGTTTTTAAGCCCATTTATTCATTTACCCAAATAAATGTTTCTGCTTTGTCATAGAGGGCAAAGTCTATACTTTATTGGTTTTATTGATGTTCTTTATTAACTCTGAGGAGCATCACTTAATGCTGTTGAAATTATAGATTATAATTACAGATAAATCACTCAGCCATATTAAAAACATTTGCTCAACGTTTTTCTTTTCATTGTTGACAAAATGTTGACAAAAGAAGTGAAGGTCTTCATTCTCTTTTACATTAATAAATAATATTATGAATAATAAGTGAGTTCCTCTCATTTTAACTGACTATATTAATAAATCAGCAACTTGCAACTCATTCAGTGCTAAAATGTGTTTAGTATTGATTTTAAATGTTTACAGCACTGTGTTGTGTTCATTAAGTACTGAAAAACATTCATTCATCACTACAATATGTTCAGTACTACCAGATATTGATCCAGTACAGTCACGTGTCTATTCAGCATTTTAATGTGTTCTTTATGCACTATAATAAATACTCAGTACCCTTAATGTGTTCAGTAATGTATTCATTCAGTAAGATTCATCAGGAACTGTAGTGTGTTCATTCAGTACTATAATGCATTCACAGACTACTATAGTGAGTTTATACAGTGGTGTGGAATGTCCATTTAGTACTGTAATGTATTCATTTAGCGTCATAATGTGTTCATTCAATCCTATAATGCAGGGGTGCACAACTCTGGTCCTGGGGGGGCCACTGTCCAGCACAGTTTGGTGATTCACCTACTCACACACAGTTGTTTGCACTTATCTGTTAATTGCCAGGTTTAGTGGGTGTCTTTAAGTAGGGAAACCTCCAGACTGTGCCGGACATCGGCCCTCCAGGACCACTGCTGCAATGCTAAATGAACACATTACAGCAGGGGTACCATAACCCATTCATTCAGTACTGTACTGTGTTCCTTCAATACCATAATGTGTTCATTCAATACTATAGTGTCATTATTCAGTACTGTAATGTGTTTATTCAATACCATAATGTGTTCATTCAATACTATAATGTTATTATTCAGAGCTGTAATGTATATTTTCAGTACAATAATATGTTCATTCAGTACTCTTTTGTTCACTCAGTACTGTAATTACTTCCAGTAATATAACGAGGTTAATTCAGTACTGTATTCATTAATTATTGCAGTGTATTCATTTAGTACAGTAACATATTCATTCAGTAGTCTTATGTGTTCATTCAGTAGTCAGCACTTTTATGTGTTCATTGAGTACCATAATTTATACTTCCAGTACTGCAATGTATTCATTCAGTACTTTTATGTACTTATTCAGTAATAATATGTTCATTCAGTACTGTAATGTATGCTCTCAGTAAAATGTAAGGATATAGTAATGTATGTTAATTCAGCACTTTAAAATGTTAATTCAGTGCTGAAATGTGTTTATTCAGTATATTAAAGTGTTCATTCAGTACTGTAATGTACTCATTCAGTACTCTTATGTATTTATGCAATACTTTTGGGTTCATTTAGTACTGTAGTGTACACCTCCAATATTATAATGTGTTCATTCAGTACTATTAATGTGTTCATTTAGTACTTTAATGTATTTGTTCAGTAATAATGTCTTCGTTTAGTACTGTAATGTGTTCAATCAGTACTGTAATGAATATTTTCAGTGCCATTACAGTTCAGTTCAGCAGTCCAAGCCCATGTTCCCCATGTCCATGTGTTTCTCCAGGCAGTGGTCAGATTCAGCTGTGGCAGTTCCTGCTGGAGCTGCTGTCTGACAGCTCCAACACATCCTGCATCGCGTGGGAAGGGACGAACGGTGAATTTAAGCTGCTGGACCCAGACGAGGTGGCTCGGCGTTGGGGAGAGAGGAAGAGCAAACCCAGCATGAACTACGACAAGCTGAGCCGCGCGCTGCGCTACTACTACGACAAGAACATCATGAGTAAAGTGCACGGGAAGCGCTACGCCTACAAGTTCGACTTCCACGGCCTGGCGCAGGTGTGCCAGCCCTCCTCCACCGAGCAGGCCCTCTATAAACTGCAGACCAACTTCGCCCCCCTCCCCTTCTCAGGCATCTCCAACATCTCCAAACTGAACCTGGGACCCCCGGGGTTCTCCTACTGGCCCACTTCCCCCCAGGCCCTGTACCACAGCCACGGCCTGCAGCCCGGAGCATTCAGCACTGTTGCCCCTGCACACCTGAGCTGCGTGAACAACATCAACAACATCAACAACATCAACAACCACTACAACTGAGAGGAGAACAGCACACAGTGAAAATCCCCCACTGCAGACTGAACACCAACGGTACTGGGTTAGCACAATAAAGTACTGAATTAACACCTGCAGTGCTTAATGAATACATACAGTACTGAATTAATAACTACAATACTTAAATAACACATGCAGTACTGCATACATATCTACAGTAATTAATTAATACATACACTACTGAATTAATACATACAGTACTGAATACACACCTACAGTGCTGAATTAATACATACAGTACTGAATAAATACCTACAGTACTGAATGAATACCTACAGTACTGAATACATTCCTAGAGTGCTGAATTAATACATACAATACTGAATAAATAACTACAGTACTGAATTAATACATGCAGTACTGAATGAATACCTACAGTACTGAATTAATGCTTACAGTACTGAATACATACCTACAGTGCTGAATTAATACATGCAGTACTGAATAAATACCTACAGTCCTGAATTAATGCTTAGAGGACTGAATACATACCTACAGTGCTGAATTACTACACACTACTGAATAAATACCTACAATAATTAAATAGTACATTCAGTACTGTATACATATCTACAGTACTTAATACATATTTTCTATAAAATTGATACTGACACATTAGTGTTGGACTAAGTATTGCTGAATTAATAACACTATCATCGCTGAATTAATATTTACAGTGCTGAATAAACACATTACAGTGTTCTTTTGCTTAGAGCTGTGAGATTTAATTCAACACTACAGGTGTTCAACAGTTTGAGGAAAAAAATAAATCCAGCATTGTAATGTGTGCAGTACTGTAATGTGTTCATTTAGCCCTGTAATGCATTAATTCTTTACTTTAATATGTTTATTTTGTACTAATGTGTTCACTCAATACTGTATTCATTGAGTATTGACATTTCTCAGCATTCTGATGTGCTTCTTCGTGCAGTAATTTTGTGATGTGTTCATTCAGTACTGAAATGTATTAATTCAGCACTGTAATGTGTTCATTTGATACTGAATCATTAATTGAGAATTCTATGTGTTCAGTACTTTCATTAGTTCAGTACTGCAATTTGTTCATTCAGTACTGCAGTGTATTCAATTGGTACTATAATGTATTTGTTCAGTGCTTTAATGTGTTCATTCCATACTTTAAAATATTCATTCAGTACTTTAATGTGTTCATTCAATACTGCAATTTGTTCATTCAGCACTGTAATGTGTTTAGAACCTTAATGTTTTCATTCCGTACTTTAACATATTCATTCAGTATTGCAATGCGTTCATCCAATACTACAGTGTGTTTACTCAGTGCTTTGTGTTCATTCAGTACTTAACATATTCATTCAGCACTGTAATGTCTTTGGAACTTAAATGTGTTCATCGGGTACTGTAATGTGTTCTATACTATAATGTGTTCATTCAGTACTCTAATGTATTTGGTTGGTACTTTAATGTTTTCATTTAGTACTTTAACGTGTTCACTCAGTTCTAAAATGTGCTCATTCAGTACTGTAATGCATTCATTCAGTACTAAAATTTGTTCACTTAATACTGTAATGTGTTCATTCAGTACTATAATGTGTTCACTCAGTGCTGCAATGTGTTTACTCAGTACTGTAATGTGTTCATTCAGTACTATAATGTGTTCACTCAGTACTGTGATGTGTTCACTCGGTACTGTGATGTGTTCACTCGGTACTGTAATGTGTTCATTCAGTACTATAATGTGTTCACTCAGTACTGTGATGTGTTCACTCGGTACTGTGATGTGTTCACTCAGTACTGTAATGTGTTCATTCAGTACTATAATGTGTTCACTCAGTGCTGTGATGTGTTCACTCAGTACTGTAATGTGTTCACTCAGTACTGTAATGTGTTCATTCAGTAGTATAATGTGTTCACTCAGTACTGTAATGTGTTCACTCAGTACTATAATGTGTTCATTCAGTAGTATAATGTGTTCACTCAGTACTGTGATGTGTTCACTCAGTACTGTAATGTGTTCACTCAGTACTATAATGTGTTCACTCAGTACTGTAATGTGTTCATGCTGATGTGGGGGTTTCGCTGTGAGTGCTGTGGTCCACAGTGATGTTGATGAAAGTCCAGCTGAGTTCGCAGAGTACAGCTGTGTGATGCTGGTGAAGGACATGCTGCAGTTTTATGGGAATGACGGCTCTTCAGCTTTGCTGAGAAATTGCAGATGTTTTATTCTTCTTTATGTTTCATGCTGACGGGCTCAGATGAAGCTCAGTTTAGTGCTCAAGCTTTATCAAGCTGCAGTGTTGATAAAGTAAAGTGGCGCCATCTCATGGAGGGCAGTAAGTAACATTTTACCACTGATGATTATATAGAAAGATTCTGGAAAGCTACAATTCAAACGTGCAGGATAATCAGCTCATATTCATCCTCACCCAAAACTGGCTATAGTTTTTAGTTGTATTTTTGATATTTTTTGACTACTCTCTGTGGAAATGACTGTGCTGTTATGTTATTCAGAGGGTTAGTTATAAATATATCTGTCTAACATGCTTAATGTTACCTTAGAATTCATTACAGAGCTTTTTTACTGTAGGTGTGTCTGAATCTTCTGCGATGTTCACTGTGTTAACAATACTGTAACTATGATGCTTCACACTCAGTTCAGCTCAGCGTTTTCAGAAGGAAAGGTAAACATGTTTACGGGTGAGTTTGAGCCTCAGCTAACACTGCAGTGGGTGAGTGAGCGATGTGTAAATTAAAGGATAAACCATGTAGCTCTGCTTTCTGTTCACTAATAACCTTCAGTTTGTTTAATAAAGTCACTACACACTGATTTACTCACATGGTATTTCTGCACTCGTCAGATACATGAGGGAACATTTAAAGAACCTCAGCGTTACTGTGACTGTGTCATTATTTCCTTCTGTAATTTACAAGAGAATTAAACACTGCCTGACTGATTTTGCAATGAAATACTATTTAAAATGAAGCAACAACAACAACAACAATGATAATAATAATAATAATAATAATAATAATAATAATAATAATAATAATATTTACAATATTATTACTGCTATGGCGTCTAATACTACTACTCACTCTTAAAAAAGAAGTTTTTTTAAAGGGTTTTTTAGTAAAGAAAAACATTTTATATAGAACTATGAACACTCAAAGAACCATCTGCATAATTTAAGGGTTCTTTGCATCATAAAAGTTTCTTCCAATTGAAGAAAAATGTGTTGTACATTGTCCTAATTAGAACATTTCTGAATAGGGTTCTACATAGCACCAAAAAGTGTACTTCCATTGTTACAATGTCAAGCTTGTAACAATAGCAGAACCCTTTTTGGTGCTGTATAGAACCATGTACAACACATTATACATCAGTCTGAAGAACCCACAAAAACCTTTTAGTCATGCAAAGGGTTCTTTGAGTGTTCATGGTTCTATACAAAGCAATTCTCTTTACTAAAGAACCCTTAAAGAACCCTTAAAGAAAGAGTGTGCTACTAATAATAATTAGAAAATTGAACATTTTTATTACATTCAATTATATTATATGTATCTTATATACTGGCAAAGTGAGTTTCTGGCAGAGGATGTGACTCTTTGACTCGACATTACATGATATTTTATTCATTATTATTATTATTAATATTATTATTATTATTATTATTATTATTATTATTATTATTATTATTATTATTATTGTTGTTGTTGTTGTTTTGCTGTTTCTAAAATACTTATTAATAAAATAATTGTTAACATCAATAATACAATTATTTGCAAATATACGATGCATAGAATTCATACACAATAAGTACTATTTTAAAATATATGTATTCACACTATACACACTACACAAATCTGTGATGGCTGTTTGATGAGCAGATACTGAGGTGTGGACGTTGTGACTGTAATGAAGGCCGGTCAGGAGAGCCGCACTGTGTTTTTAATGTGTGGGACACTGTTCAGTAGGAGATGAGCTGAAGGTCAGTGAGTGTCCTGCTTTACGGTCACTTCAGCCTCCATAAGCACATTCAGCTCAGTCTGTCTATCATTCACTTCACTGAGTGAACTTTCCCTTATTATAAAGCTTTTATAACACCTGAGATTGTGTTCTGCGTGTAATAACCTTGATGTATTTAATTATAAATGATTATATTTGTATATGATATTTTTATACACAGAGTTATTGTTTGGCAAAACCTCATTAGGTTTGCTGAGGCACCTGTTCAAAAATGACGCAGCACATGCTTGAGCCACATGGGGGCGACACATTTCCACGATCTTCCGCCATCTGTGAATGAACACAGTCCACCTTAACCATAATTAAAGCACATTAACAGAGCAGCCTCTCTCTACACAACATACACAAAAAACACTCACACACACACACACAAACACACACACACACACACACGCACACACACACAAACACAGACACACACACACACACACGCACACACACACTCTCACACACACACAGAGCTGCCTGTTAAATCTCCTCGGTTAGTGTTTAAAGGTGGTTTTGGCCTCTTCATCCATTCCAGAGAGTCTGATACTCTGTATCTGATCTTAAAGTAATACGATGCTGGAGTTTCCTACAGTGAAACAGGAGAAAAGAAGAGAATCAGATTTAAGTTTTTGGAGTTTTTTTACCTGCTCAGATCCATAGGGCTCCACATGATTTATGACAGTTTATTAAAAATCAGTTCTTATTCATAAACTTCAACATTCAAGCAGAATGTCTGGTCATTTATATTTTATGTTAGATATATACATTTTTATGACACACCTCAAGTATTTCCATGTGTGAAAGGTGCAATAATGACTATAATACTTAGGGGAAAGTTAGTGAATACACTTTAAGTTGGTTTGACAACATTGCTATGGTATCCCAGTTGGTTGCTAAGGTGTTAGTAGGCCGTTGTTGTGCTGCTCCAAGTGATCACTAATGTGTTGCTAGGTCATTGCTATGTTGTCCCGCGTGGTTCTTAATATGTGTGTAT